AATTCAGAATTCCTTATCATCGACGCTCACCTGATTCTAAAACGAAATATTTATTATTAAATTTCTTAATATTATTTAGTATGATTTTTATTTAATCCATATTTTAATATTTCAAATATGCTCAATATTTTCATTATATAATATTAATATTTAATATATTATATTTTATATTAAAATTATTATCTTATTATGATTTTATAATATTAACAAAATAACAATATTTTAATTTAGTTAGACATGCCTTGTACTTTTTTTTATATAAAAAAACTAAGAGTATTTAATATTATATTTTGTTATTTTAAAAATAATTTTAAATTTTAGGTATTTAAAAATGGATCCAAATTATAGGTATCAAAATGGAATAAATTAATATTTTTAAATTAATTTAATTGACACCGTATTTTATATTGAAATTTTTTTTCAACATACCCTAGTTTGGGGTACTTATTACATGGTGGCACCAGATTGACGATCTTTCACAAGGGCTTGAACGGTGGTGTCAATTGGTGTCTCCAATCTAATTGGTGACTGGGTATTAAAATTAAAAGGGAGTCGTCAATTGAGATGGAAACAGCCTTGAAAGTGAAAAAAATTTCTATAAATAGAGGCGTTCTCATCATTTGGTTCCACAGCTCATCTCACATCTTTGTTCCACTGATAACATGTATCGTCGCTGGTGGAGAAAAGTCGTCTATTTGAGAGAGAAGTCTCCGATGGACATGTTGTTTTGGAACATTCAAAGTTTCAATCAATTTAAGAGGGAGCTGAATCGGTGGTTAGAAGGAGACATTGGTGAAGGGGGGAAATTTTAAAGTATCAAGAGACTTGATCGCCTGCGTGGATGGGTTTGCGTTAAAACTGATTAATTGTTATAATCAGTTAGAAATTTTTTATGTTTCTTTTCCGTTATCTGTTTTATGTGTCGTATGTGTTGTTTGTTGTTAGTTCGCGGTATGTGTTGTTTGTTGTTGACATTGTTGTAACAAAGACTCATTAATATATGAAAATATTAGGTTACAACAGTTGAAAGGATAAACTAAATCATGATTCAGAGGTTGCTCCGACATTGGGATAATTTTCCGGTTGTGTTCGGGCTGATGACATATACTGCATAATCTTATCATTTTATCAGTCGTATCTATTTCGGTTCTTATACGCTTTCTGTTTGGGTGTCCTTTTTCTTTCTTTGCATCTCATCGTTGTGCCAAACTATGTCCTTTTGGTATAGAGGCCAATATTCTTCCATTGGTAGCACTGCTAAGCCTTCGTTGTAGAAATTCATAACATTAATGATCTTGTAAACATCATATAGATAACTATAAGCATCCTGATGAGCATGTGCGCATGCCGCAATGACATGTGAGCAAGGTACACAGATGGCCTAATACTTGCCACAGTCACACCAACATCTGTTTAGTTTGAGAACATATGATAAATTTGACATCCCCTCATTATGGTCTAGTCTTGTACACTAAAAGTTTGCCTATGACGGTCAAAGACTGTAACTTCATGTGTGTTGGCTTTGATAGTATCCTCTTTCATCACCTTCATTATGCTTTCACTGAATACTTGACCCGACATTAACACTGCACTTTATCTTTCGCCTCTTGTTGCAAAAAATGATGCCAACCTATAATAAGTTGATCTCACCAAAGCGGTGATTGGAAGGTTTCTAATTTCGTTGAAGACCCCGTTCATGGATTCCATAAGGTTTATCGTCATGTGGCCCCAGCGACATCTACCATCAAAAGCCCTTTTCCACTTTTCCAGTGGAATGTTATCCAACCACCTTCCTGCATTTGCATTTGACATCCTAATTTTGTTAAGGTAATATTGAAATAATGGTTGAGTTAGAGCATACCCGACATTCATAACTTTTTTTGCGAAGGTTCTTGTCTTTGATTGCACGCATGAAGTTTTATAAAATACTTCTAATGAAATACATATGGGTATAAGGAGGATTATGCCACCCGTTATCATGGTTATTGTAAGCACTCTCTATAGCAGCATGCGTGCCTAAAATCAAACAAAGATTGGCTTGTGGAGCGACATGTGTTATGAGATTCTTAAGAAAGAAACTCCAAGCAGATGTGGTCTCACCCTTAACCAGAGCAAAGGCTATGGGAAAGACATTATTGTTTTCGTCTTGTGCAACAGCCATAAGCAAGGTGCCCTTGTATTTTCCGTAGAGTTGTGTTCCATCAACTTGAAGAATAGGTTTGCAGAATGCAAAACCTTGTATGCATGGTTGAAATGACCAAAAGAGATGGTGAAATATGACATTTCCATCAACAATAGTTCCATCTGGCCTACATGTCAGCATTTTCTGCATGATTGCAATAGTTCTCAGTGTGTATGTCTTAAGTGCTACCAAAAATTGCGGTAATTCTTTGTATGAATCCTCCCAGTTGCCAAATACCTATTCAACAACCTTTGTTCTTGCAATCCATGCCTTCTTGTAGGAGAGAGTATAATTATACTGTGTAACAATATAAGAGATTGTTATACTCACCTTCACTGATGGATCCTTGTTAACAAGTGGCAAAATGTCTTGACATATCAATTATGCGCTTAGCTTTCGGTGATCTTGAACAATATTTGTGGCAATGCAATTGTAAGGTGGCTCTATGAAAATTATTTTCCAAGAATCACTTCTCTTTCTGTAAGACGCAACAAGCTGAAACTTGCAAAGTGGATTACGATAAATAATGACATACCTTCTCGAATCAGTTCGGTGTATATTGAAATCAACAGAGTTATCCATGTGATATTTTTTAATGGCTCGTACACAATCCTCATTGGTTCAAAACTTGTATCCCACTTTTAATTCATTCTTTGACCGCATATACGGGTTGTAAAACATATCTGCAGATATCTCATTGTCTTACAAGTCCAAGTCTGTCATATATTGAGGCAGACAGTATACATGACCTGAAGGTATTGGCACTTGTTCGTCATCTTCAACGTTGTTGTTCAACAGCTGATCGACCAGCGTCTCGCTTCCTTCTTTTTATTCATCAACGACGTTGACCTCCCGTTCGGTTTCATCTGAGTATTTTACTTCGGTTTCATCGGAGTCTACACCTGTTGATTGATCGATGATTTGAGACTGTTGAGATGGAATATTTTGTTGGAGGAACGTATACAACTCAATATAGTTGAAACCAGAATGTTCGTGACTAACGAACATATTTTAAACATCTTCATCATCTCACACTTTAAGTGGATAAAATTTAACGTGGTTGGTTTCGAAAAAAATCGGGTTTTGATATATTATTTGTGATATAGGACCAAACCCTAATTTGGATTCCAATCTTTCTTTGAAATGCAAGAAACTTGTGTTTCTATTGATTGTGAATCGGACGACCTCGGTGTTTTGAAAACCAAACCCAGTGTCATCAGCAACATATGCCTTTCCATTGTAGTGGACGTTAACAAAGTATCTCGGTGCAGATGACATCAGAGAATCACTTGTTAGAGACTTACTATTTTTGGTTGCTTCAAATGAAAATGCATGGGAGAATTTAATGAGGTCTCCATATGAATTGGCGGCATGGTACAAGTTTTGAAAGGGAGTCGCCAAGTCACATGGAGACAAGGTGCAGTCTGAGCACACGGTGTCGCCATGTGAGTGTCAGCCTATTATGCATGCATGAGACAGCTTAAGGCTATGTGCACATCTAGTTTCAGGTTCCCAGAAGTCTCCAAATAGACTGACGACCCTTTGTAAGGAGTGGACACAGTTGCCAATTCATATGGCGACACCATGCGGCATGTATTGTTCACATGTGACTCCTATAATTCTATATAAGGAAGCTAGAGGTATGGAATGATATATCATCTAAGCCATTGTTGCAGAGAAATAATAGTAGATATATTTTACCAAGTCTAGAGTATTAGAAACATTAAATCAGTTATAATGTCTCTATTGACAATGGGTGAAACGCATAGAGGCACAGTCGCAAATATCGAGAATTATGTAAGTGTTATTTTCTTTATTGGCAAAGTTTTATTTTCTTTAATGTCTCTGTTAATTTTTTTCTTTCTAAATTGACAATGTGTTGTTTTCTTTAATGTCTCTGTTATTTTCTTTTATGTAAGTGTTAATTTTTAATGTCTCTATTAATATTTTTTCTAAATTAACAATTATGTAGGAAGTCTCTAAGTTTCGACCCCATGCCCATGAATATGTTTCCCCCGACGAATTAATTTAACTGTATATTGAGCTTGCCGGTTTCGGACATGTAAGCAAAATTATGTCTTACTCGGTTGATGCAAAGTTTATACTAGCTTTGCAAGAGAGATGGCGCCCAGAGACGCACACCTTCTCTTTTCTAACCGGTGAATGTATTGTGACGTTAGAGGATGTGTACATGTTACTTGGTTTGCGTATTGATGGTAGGCGGTCAATGGACCAACAAACCTTGATGGTTCAATTTGTGAGGAACTTTTGGGTGCCGACTTGCTAGATGAGAACTCAAGAGGCCAAGGTATTTTACTTTGCGCCTTAAATCATGGTACACCGGTTTTATATTAGATCAAGATTCTACAGAAGAAATGAAAATAATAAAAACCATGTGTTATCTTATGCTTTTAATTGGTTTATTTTTATTTCTCGAAGGCACTGGTTTTTCTATGCACATTATGTATTTACCCTTATTGAGAAACCTAGATAAAATAAGAGAGTATAGTTGGAGTTTCGCTTGTCTATCTTATTTGTATATCTCTTTGTGTAAGTGCGCCAAAAAAAACACATCTGCTTTTTTTGGATGAGTTGTTTTGCTCTAAGCATAGGGTTGGTCTAGATTGACATCCCTAGCCCCCGTCAACCACAACAGATTTTCCTTCCCGTATGCACAAAAGTAAGTTACTAACTTAATCTTAGTTTATTTCACCTTACTAATTATTGTGTCTAACTAATTGAATTTGAACTTTTTGTTGTTTAGATGGTTGGCTAAGGGTATGAGTTACAATAGATGCCCTAGACATTGTATCATCCAATGCCGCAATCTGTTAGATCACCTAACACCTGGAGATGTAAGGCCTCTAAACAAATCAATTTATTTTTTATATCAATAATTTTATGATCTAATATTTTTCTCTTCTTCAGTTCATTTGGCGTCCATATCTAAACATGAACACCTACATGAAGTCAGAGAGGAAGATGTTGCCGTTTGGACTGCTTGTGTGCCGATTATCAGATTCACCACTGTAAAGATGCACAACAGTTACCGTGTCAAACTACAATTTAGAATGCATCAAAATATCTCAGATCCCCCTGTTGACCTCAGTAAATGGCATCTCAAAAGAGTTAATGATCAATGGGATTATCCCGACTAGAAGGATTTTGCAAAATATGAGTATCGTAAATGGAGAAACCGCAGCGCCCATGTCTTACGTGACCCGGTGATGGCAACCTCGTCTATACCAACTCATAATTATATGGCTTGGTACATACTAGTTGTGATTGGGTTTATCTCTGAAGAGAGGTATATGTACAACCCACGACAAATTACCTACACACAAGAAGCTTCAGCGTCTAACCTACCGGGAAATTATCGACCATGTTACTCACAACCCCCTACCCAACAGAATTACCAATCCAATAACACACAGATCCACCATCCAAACATGCCAAACACCCAACCACAATACTAAGAGAGTCCTTCATACCATCTCCAACAAAGTGACTATTATCAAGAAACCCAATATGACTATGCTCCCAACACAACATTAAGATGTGGCCAAATGAGAGTACATCATACCATAGCCATAAACGCCCAAACATCTTTTCATAGCCAAAACGCTCAGACATCATACCCTAGCCTACACACACAAACATCCCAACAACCTTATGACTTTCAAACATCACTATCATTTCAACCTTTCACCAATAAATCCTTCACACCAATGTCTCTCATCAATTGTCCAGGCCGCACACCAATGACCCCTTCATCATATTCGAACTACTCTGGCATGGGTTGCACGCTCATTTTCAACACATAAGACCTCATGAAAATGCAAGAAATTCTTAGGGATCCATCTGGGAATGTTCCTGAGACTTCAACTCCTCAAACATCTGGCGTGAATCAATAACGAAGGGAACAAGGGGAACGAGTGCAACGAGTGAGGGTGCCTAGGGGATGTGGAACCGGTGGTCAGTATGACCAACCCGGTCGCCAACATTAATTTATGTAATAGTATTTTTAATTAATAATAATGTTATTTATTTTTATTAAATTTTTTTACATAATGCACTTTGTCTCCCTTTTAATTTTAATACCTAACCGTCAATTGGATTGGAGACACTATAAGTAGTCTACAATTTAATTGGCGTCATCATTTAAGCTCTTGTAAACGGTTGTTAATCCACGTGACTTCATTATATAATCACTACCCCAAATTGAAATTCTTTAATATAAAAAATTAAATGAGAAGTATTTGAGGAATTTTAAAAAAAAACTGGATTATTTTAATAAAAATTTCAAACTAAAAAAAGAAGAACTTAATATTTGAATAGACCATATGCATATTTAAAATATTATTTTGTTTCTATGATGTGTGTTATGCATTTAAGACTAATATATCTCTAACAATCTCTCGTGTAAATACAATTAATATGAAATAAAAGATCTCAATGATGGTTGATATTGGAATCTTCAATTTTCCTTTATTTACATTTATCACATGCAAGGTTTTTTGTTAGACTATCTATATAAAAACCATATATATTTTCTACTAAAGAACAAAAGATTATGTGAACTGAAAATAGTGAATCTTACTAAAGTGGTTTTGTCTTTTTTTTTTTCCTTCTTTTCTTTCCACTTGAACAAATGTTTTTCTTTTCTTAGTATAAAATGATGTATGTGAGACATGCAATCAACTCGATTCGATAAAATATAAGAAAAAGTAATTTAAAAAGTTCTGTTCAATATACCACATGATAGAAACACACTACTTTATATATACATATTTATAAATATTTATAAAAAAACGACTGAACGGAATCAAATTGCGGAATTAAATTAAAGTTAAAATAATTGAAGCATTATATTTAGATAATAAATTGAACTATATTACATAAACAATTTTAAAATGGAAGTATTGCAATTGAAATTTGATATTTATTACTAGTAAGAAAATAGAGTTGGTTGATTTGGAGGAAAATTTGAAAGGAGGTAAAAAGGAAAAAGGTAAAAATGTTCCCCACCACCCAAACAGTTGTTTAGCCATCAAAATGTCATTTGGTCTAACGATAGGACAGTGTTTGTGTTGAACCTTGGAAAAGCATGTTTGTAACACAAATCCGCTTTTTCTTAAATAGTCACGCTAATGTGTCTAGCAATGTCAAGACCAAATCTTTCATTTTTCTTTATCGTTCCTTTTCTAACGCCTTCTTTTTCATTGCTTCCCATCATTGCACATTTCCATTTCAAATCTCTTCGTTGGTCAAACTTTCTAGATTTCTACTTTTGAAAACTCCCATGTAGGGATAGCACAATGGCCCACTAGGAATAATACTCGAATAACAATGCCTCTAAAACTCTACTACTCACTTGTTCCCAAAGTATCTTTGTTTAATTTATTATTAGAAAATACTCTTTTCATTTTAAAATAATTTTTGTTTAAAATTGTTATATATAAATTAAAGAATTCAATGATATTATTATGGTGAAGTCTAAGGTGAGGGTTTAATTAAGTCCCTCATCGGTGAAACCTCTAAAATTGACCGTTAGATTTGATCAACGCATCCAAATTGTTATAATTAAAATAAGTATATTTGTACAATCTCACACACAATTTTCTCCCACTATAACTAAATTGTGTAACTTCTCTTTTTATCATCATTAACTTCCACTTGAAAACAATATACATTAAACAAAAACAATTGAATGCAATTAATATTTAAGTGTATAAATTTTCTTATTTTTAAGATTCTATTATTGGTGATGCAATTAATATAACCATTTTTTTTTTAATTTAAAAAAAAAACATATTTTTATTTATGTTTGGAGCACAAATATTTTTTTACCCTTGTATAAATTTAATTTTAGAATGACATTATATATTTGAATCAGTATAAATATGAATATATTTATAATTATCTAATAAATATCATCTCAATTTCTATATCAATTATTTTATATTAAATATAGGTAAATATATATTGATCATTTATGAACTTGTCCCGTTAAAATTTAAAATTAAATATAGATAAATAAATTAATGAGAATCAACATCATCAAAAATATTAATAATAAAAAAAAAAAATTTTAACCGATAAAAGTCATATATTATGTAATTAAAATCCTCATAATTTCTATTATTCTAATTCTACTAATTATTTTCAATCAATTATTTTTTACCCTATCTCATCAACTAACCATTTTTGTTTGAATTTTAAATAAAAAATATTTTGAACAATATATGCATTAATTAGTTTTGTAATAAAATAAAAAATAGTATAAATTTATGTAAAAATTGTTATAAAATGGATTGGTTTTGATTTAGTTAGGCATTAAAGTTTTTAGCGTAAACACATTGTTGGAGATATGAAACAAACCTAACAAGTTGTTTTCACTAGCTCTCATACGCTCACCTACGTAAATATCAACAGTGATAAAAAAATTGATCATCTTCAAGTGTAAGGAAATTCCTTCTCTTGAAAATTGTTTCGCAAAGCACGACTCGAGATTTTCAGAGACAAACTCCCTGCCATTGAAGAATACCCGCACACTTATAGTTAAATATGTTGTATATTTATTTATTCAATTTGTAAATGTTGATACTTAAAATTAGGTTATAGGTTTTGATAAATTTATCATTTTACTCGTTTGTAAATGTATTATCATTGTAGATCTCTCTAATTATGCACCGTGAACACTACGCCAAAAACAGCCTTTAACAGCGCAACAACGCTTATATAACAAAGCGCTCTTATAGGATTTTAGAAAAATTCGCTTAAAAAAAGCGCTTTAAAAGAGTAACCTTATCCGGGTTCTTCATTGGATTGTGGCGCATAATATTCGTCCCAAGAAAGGCGGATATTCCAGAATTGACAAAGCCGAAGTAGCCTTGCTGTATGCTCTCATAAAGAAAGTCAAGGTTAATTGGCCTTACTATATTATTAGTCGCATTTTTGCACTGAGAGAAAAGAACAAGGTGGCCTTGAGTTATCCGTCTCCCATTCAGTCCATCTTGATTAATGCAAAGGTTGTTATGGAAGGGTTGCCTATGATGTCCATCAATCCGAATCGTGAATTTCAACCAAAAAAAAAAAACGCTCACTCTTATAGGACGACACTTATGGTATCCTGTTGAAAATAGGTTTGTTTTAAATTTGAGACCTGGTAGTCAATTTGAAACTGCTATAACAGATGGTACTGGTACGCTTGAAAAAGCTCCTAGTGGTGACAACACTGAGTCTAGTGTACATCTGTTCTGACCCAGTCGCCTTGATCTTCCTCCATAGGATGAGTTTGATCAGACTCAGTGTTGTCACCACTAGGAGCTTTTTCAAGCGTACTAGTACCATCTGTTATAACAGTTTCAAATTGACTACCAGGTCTCAAATTTAAAACAAACCTCTTTTCAACAGGATACCATAAGTGTCCCATAAGAGTGAGCGTTTTTTTGTTGAAATTCATGATTTGGATTGATGGACATCATAGGCAACCCTTCCATAACAACCTTTGCATTAATCAAGATGGACTGAATGGGAGACGGATAACTCAAGGCCACCTTGTTCTTTTCTCTCAGTGCAAAAATGCGACTAGTAATATAGTAAGGCCAATTAACCTTGACTTTCTTTATGAGAGCATATAGCAAGGCTACTTCGGCTTTGTCAATTCTGGAATATCCGCCTTTCTTGGGACGAATATTATGCGACACAATCCAATGAAGAACCCGAATAAGCGGATAAGGTTACCCTTTTAAAGCGCTTTTTTTAAGCGAAATTTTCTAAAATCCTATAAGAGCGCTTTGTTATATAAGCGTTGTCGTTGTTGCGCTGTTAAAGGCTATTTTTGGCGTAGTGTTCACGGTGCATAATTAGAGAGATCTACAATGATAATACATTTAAAAATGAGTAGAATGATAAATTTATCAAAACCTATAACCTAATTTTAAGTATCAACATTTACAAATTGAATAAATAAATATACAACATATTTAACTATAAGTGTGCGGGTATTCTTCAATGGCAGGGAGTTTGTCTCTGAAAATCTCGAGTCGTGCTTTGCGAAACAATTTTCAAGAGAAGGAATTTCCTTACACTTGAAGATGATCAATTTTTTTATCACTGTTGATATTTACGTAGGTGAGCGTATGAGAGCTAGTGA